GCGGACGGAGAGAAAGGCGAGGGATGAATAAAGGTGGACGACGAAGATAGCCTGGCGAGAAAAAGTAAGAGTGGGAGAAGGAGAAAATAGAGTCTTAGGCATAAATAGAGAAGCCCAACGAACGAGTCAGTTTTGATTGGCTGTCTGAATTACATAACCTAGGCGCCGTTTCCTTTATTTACCACGTCTAAGAATATATGATGTGCCGGTAAATTATATTTTTGTTGCTTTTTTTTTTCATCGCGACTCAATAAAATCCTTTCTTGATGTGTCAGGTTATAACGAGTAATTACGAATTGCAGGGAGAGTAGTTATCAGAGTCAATCTCTCGCAATAATCTAATCTTACCTCTTCACTCATTTTCCTTCTCTCACTAATATCACCATGCACAGAAAAATGGTGGACTTTCGCTATATCGAATATCGAGTTCAGTTGCGCTTCTCTATTTATATCTAGGGAAGAGAAAAAGAGAGAACAGACTCGAAACAGCACAAAGTCGTTTCCGTACTTCGCTGATAAAGAATTCAATGGCGGAACAGGCTCTATCTTTTCCCTCTCCTCAAGAGGAGGAGGGAGAGGACCATCGGGCATTATCTCCTTATTTTCTTGTTTCACCCTAGGCCGTTTTTCGCACGAGGGCGAAAGGACGACCTCCTCGTTCTTAGTCGTTCCTTTACGCCGAGACAAAAGGCAGTTCGCATGTCGTCGTGCGTCGCTAACTACAGATTTATATATATATATATATTACTAGACTGCTAACTTCCTTATATACAGTATCAAAAAATGGACACCGGAAAGTATGTATTGCATACTACTTGCTAAGTAGGAAAGAAATAGGTGGTAGTGAATAAATGTAATATGGCCGATGCCTACAACCAAGACGTGAATACTACTTATATGACTATTCTGTATATGTTTTCCGGACCATGTATTTCGTACGAGTTGGTGATCTATTAACATATAGAAGTCTGTGTCGCTAGCCGTGATAAAAGAAGGAAGAAAAGGGAGATTTGGAGAAAGAGGAACCACGATTCTCGCAGCCACTTTACAATCATTTCTCTTCCCGTGTGACTTTTCTGGATTATTTTTTCTTATCATTAGCTAGTCGGGGCTAGCTCAGCGGGCATATTTGTCTTCTTTACGGCTTCCTTTGCGTCCGATTTGCATTTGCGTCCTGTCGCATTTATAATAGCACAATATTGCGTTTTCATGATGACCGGTATGAACTTCGGAGTGATATAAGAGACAATATATCATGAAAATGTAACATTTGAGCGTATATTTAATGTGTTGCTTCAGTGTTACTTTGGTACGAAAAAGATAGGTATGAAGAGAATTTGCGTTGCAACGTCATGTTTGAATCGCAGAGTTGCTCCTGCTTTTTTTTCTAATAATTTTATTATTGTATACTAAAGGATTTTTTTCCTGTAAATGAAAATTATTATTATTGTAATCAGACTCGTGCCGGAGATCAGTATGCATGACTGCTGATTAAAAACTAAGATATTAATAGAACAATGCGAAGTTATTACGAAGATAATCGCGAAAATATTTTGCTCTTGTCAGAATCAATTCTCTTTTGTAATAATTTAAGTAATAATTTAGCACATTGAATGTTGGGGGTCAACGGTGACAGGCATTATAATATTATCGCACCTTGTTAAGGAGGTTGTTGTAAGATTAAATGAATTTGTTAAAAATTCGATGAAGCTTGCATTACGTGCACATTAAAATGTTATTTAACTGTTTGTTTAATTAGAAGAAGATTGACCGTTCGAGAACTGTGATATTTGCAATTAAAGTTGCCACATTTTTATACGCGTTTCATGTGGCGACAAAGTCCGACCAACTACTCCTCCCTCCCCTTCCCCTTTATTGCAAAATGGAATAGTAAAAATATATGTGGTGCTACATTCAATATTCAAGGCTCAGTATAATGATTTTTGTCATTAGATACAATAGTTGTTATACATATGTAGATTAGGTCACTCTGATCAAGAAAAATCCTGTATCATTTTGCAAATAACACGCAAATTCTCGAGTTATTAATTAAAGAAGCTTCTATACATGGCCATTTTCAATTATTAATAATTCAAAATTTTCCGTGGTCATTTGCAAAATGATAAAGGATTTTTCTACTTAGTATAACCCATTGTACTTGCACAAAGCGATGTTTCACGAAGTATCGGACACTCTATAATAACATTCGAAATACATATGCATATGTTTAAATATTTATATATATTTCTTTCTATTATCTCTGCATCTCTATTTTAAATTAACATGTATTATTTAGGTAGTGTATAAATGTATATAAATTTAATTTTGCTCGATAAATATTCAGGTTTATGAGACGCACGAATATTCAAAATTGATGCGCCTAATTCGAAATTTTTTATATAATTATATTTAAAGAATAAGACAGCATTAATGCAAAGCACCGTACCTCAAGGTTTGTTTTCGGTTTCAAATTAACATTTGAATTATAGTTAATCCCACTTCCTCCCTCGCTCATTCGTACCGCGCATCTTACGCAGAGAAAAATGTCACTTCGCTCTGCTCATTATCACGCGTTTCGGTTTTGCCATCACTAACTACGATATCGACCTGCAATTATGCCGGCTGATTTAAAATTATTTCGACTCTGTCGATTATTCGTCCCGTCTTCTCTCTCTCTCTCTCTCTCTCTCTCTCTCTCTCTCACGGGTCGCAAGCGGCGATTAATTGTCACCGTCCTTTGTCTAATTAACGAACGTCGGTGCGCGCAACGACGATATTTTATATCCCTTTTTGCCTCTCGTAAATTCTAATTATCGTCAACATCGCCGCATATCGCGTTTTATCACACCTTATCGCTTGTCGTTTCCGTCGTGACGTCAGAATTTCAAGCGCAGAAATTATAAATATACCTTTAACGTCAGCGCCTGATCGAATTGCGCGTATGCGCGCGACCATGCTTGACAAGCCGCTTCGCTCGTTACGGGCCGACGATCTTCGCTAAATGAAATTAATATCGATTCGCAGCATGCACGGTGACATCTCCGACTATTAGATGCTAATTGCTGCGCTCTCGCGATTATCACCGCGTTACGTCGCGCGAGCGAGATTAACGGGAATCGATTGATGATGAGTGACGACACGTTTCGTACCCGTAACGATCGCGACAATCCTATATATTCAGAGGAAAAATATCTAAAAAATAAAATACATTTATACGATGAGTACTAATGATATATTACACTAAAATACATATTTTTACACTGCGACAAAAATGTTTTTCAAAGGAGAAAGTATATATATATATTTTTTTTTTAACTTTTTCATGAAATCAATTGTTTATCCTATTCAAAGCTCCTGTTTCTTCTCGCCACAGCCATTTTGAATAATGACGTCAAAAGTGAAGAAATGTATGTAAAAAATTTTTTGTAAAATGCATTAAAATAAAAGGATATGTTTATGAAATGATACTTGTGATCAGTTGAGCATATGTCAAATATTCCGAAGATTTTTCTTCTTTTATTGTAATATTCAATAAATAACTAAAATTAAGGTGACAAAGTTACGAGAAAAAATAGGCCAAAAAGGAAGATTGCGTGTCATATTAATTTTGTTATTTGATTTTATTATTTTTATTATTATTTGATTTGATTATTAATTGTTTGCGCAAAAAGCAAGTTTTCGGAATATTTTATCAATGTACGCAATCTCAATCCAAGTGTCATTTTATGGACGCATCCCTTTATTTCAACATTTCCCGTTTTCTCTCTTTTTCCCTATATAACGTATTATATTGTAAACAAAATTATTAGTTGTATTTGCGCTTGAGAGGACAGTGTTTCAGAGCGCATAATAAATAAAACATCTATGTATTTCGCAAGAATTTTGTGCATGCATTTTCTCTTTCTTTTTTTCTCATTTTCTTTTCTCATCTCATTCATTTCATCTTTCTTGAGACTGCAGCGAAGAACCAAGAGCCGAAAATTAAAAAAAAATTAGATTTAAATAAATGTGTTATTGGAATAACTATCGAATAAGTATTTTTTTCTCTCGGTACAGAGATTAATAGCCGAGGAAAAGAAACCGATCGTAACGACATTCGGACGCTTACAAATTCGCGGCGCGCCTGGTCCCGTGGGCGCCGAGGTGAGAAAATACGGCGTGCGTACGTGCCGATATCATCTACGCGTGCGTACACACGCGCATACACACGTACACACACATATACATACGCATATACGTACGCTCGGTGATACTTAGTCCCTTTCTTCTGCCTCTCGCCGCCCGCGGCTGTCTCGCAATTAATCTCCCACGAAGTCGATCATGCTCGGCCGACCTCCCTGGCGGGTCACGTCAACACGAGCGCGACCTCCGATCCCGCGAGGAATTATGAGCCACGCTCGTTACCGAGCACGAGGGAGAATGCACGTGTGGAGACGACGGGGTCGCTCGTTAATCTCCGCCCGATAACGCCTCTTTCGCGGTACGAGACGCGTTATCGCGGAGGTTGTTACTGCGAGCTGTGTACGAACGACAGAGAGAGAGAGAGAGAGAGAGAATGCGTCCACTGGCCACGACGTGCGCCCGCGGCCAGACGGGGATGAGTTAAACGTCACGGTTGATTGAATCTCCCGCCGTCCGGCGAGAAAATCAGGCGTGCGACGTGTACACGCATCCTGCGGGGTGACGCGCGTGACGTGTCCTCTGCCTCTTGCCGTGCGAACAGATTAATTCGGTAAATCGCTACGACGGCTACCTGACCGGCGAGCCGCGTCGTGTCGCGCCCGGTCGAGATTTTCACCGAAAGAGGCGGATTCACCTACCTACCTACCTACTGCGCGCCATGTCGATGTGTCCTGACCTTCGAGGTCGAGGAGACCCGTAGATTCCTCTTCCTCTTCTTTTTACGTTCTTGCCCCTTCCCCTTCCTTCGGTTAAGTCAAACACGTAGCGCGAATTTCGCACGAACCCTGACTCCGCTGACCTCTCTCGTTCGCTTTCAGGTCTACAGCCTGCCAGCACCAAAGCTCAGCCAACCTCGATTGGCAAGTCCCACCGACCCAGTTCCGGTGTTCTACCTCAGGGTCACACCCCGGGACCTGGACCGGGCGGACAACAGAATAGCAGGAGTTTCGCCGCAGCCTTGAGAAACCTGGCCAAGCAGGCGGGCCCGGCTTCTCAGGAAGAGGAACCCCGCGCCAGTCCGAAGAACCGGGCGCCACCTTCCTTGGTCAGAGGTCCTTCCCCTGCTAAGGTGAGTAATTACACCGGCCACACTCGCTTTATCCTCTCTTCTCTACCGTGGGGGGAGAGAGAGAGAGACGGCCTCCTCTCGCGGCCTCGTTCGTTTCTTCGTACGGGACAGAAGTGCATCCGCCTCGAAACGCGAACAAAGGCCGCACCCTCTCGACCTCACTCGGTGGTCCCATGATCGGAATAATAAGCGTGCGCGCTTAGGGTATCGTAGCTGAGAAAAATCGTTGACATCGGTCGTTTCAGGATCGGTCTTCTTCGCCTTTGCGACGTGGACGGCGCTCTTTTCTTATTTCCGTTTTTTCTTCCCATACGGTTGAACTGATGAAGAATGTTGTCAATGGAACAGCACAGATGAAAAGAGGGTGCATAGATTTGTCCTCTCTCTCTCTTTCTTTCTTTGGGAAATTCTTCGGGTCTACTTATTACCGATGATACGATTTATATTTTGTAACGTTACGAGATAGATACCGTCGCGCATAGGAAAATTACGACGTCACTTCGACGTTGAAACTTGAGTGGAAATTCTCAGAAGCTTCGAGGCTGTGCGCAAATGACTGAATAATGTTCGCCGATTAACTTTGCGCGGGAATTACGCGCCGGTGGAAATTTCACTTCGATATTTAACGATCGAGATACGAGACTCGACGTCGGAAGGGATTAATCCTGGTTCTACCATCCGCGATTTTGACGCCGTAATAACATCATCACAGGTTTCTCAAGTCCATATAATGAAAAATATTTTTTAAATCGTGGTTTTTGCATTTTTATGAATTACATTTGTTGAGTTTATTGCCAATTTTGTTCATTGTCGTTGTACAGACTGGTTGCCGCCAGGAAACCAATTATCTTGTTGGGTCAAGCTGATAATAGCAGTTGCCTATTTGAACAAAACTTGATTAACAGAATACTGATTTTTATGCAAAATTTACATTGTTTTGAATCAGAATTATACACCATTTTACGTAGTAAAAATATGCGCAAAAATGAATTGGATGTGGCAGGAAATGTTATAAACAATGTTAAAGTAATATTTCTACCTGTCAGTTAGTGTAAATATTTATCTGATAGAGAAATCCTGCAGCTTGTACGTACTGAATGCGTCAATGCTCCAAACAGGAAAATTTCAAAGGGCATTTTTATATTTTCTCAGTTAAATTCAGAAGCCTAAAAAATATTGTAGTATTGTAGTTGTTAATTTCAAAATATTTATAGAAAAATATTTATATATCTTAGTTCAATTTTCTATTAGATATCGTAAAACAATAGAACATATTCATCGCATTCATATTTATATCGCACTTACATTTACATCTATCATCTTACATTTACATCTATTAAGATCTGTATGTATCAGAAGTAATATACAAAAGATACAAAATAACATACAAATAAATACAAAAAGAACGTGATCGTGTTAATATTTACGTAATATAATATATTTTGAGGATCTCAACATAATCGATGCTCATCAAGTTCATCACGACTTTAGCATCCCCTTAAAAGCATTCTGTTTTACCATAAATTTATCAGCACTATATTCTCCGTTACTGGTTGCATGGAATTAAAAGTCCTTTTGCACAATCGGATGCACAAAAGGATTTTTAATTCTGTGCAGCCAGTAACAAGAGTATATTACTGACAAATTTGCGATGAAACAGGACGACTCCGGGATCCACTTAAAAGCTCCCAATCTCGATCTTCTCACGCGTCGGAAAAAGGGGTTCGTAATCGAGAGAGAGAGAGAGAGAGAGAGAGAGAGAGAGAGAGAGAGAGAGAGAGCGTGCGAATTTCTGGACACCTCACGTGCGATATCGTGGGCCATTTCACGTGCTCACGCGATCTCGAGGGGTAATTGCTACCGGGAATTACGGTTTCTCGTCACCAAGTCGCGAAAGTGTCGGGGCAGGATATATAGAATTACCCACGTCAAGCGGCGCGGAAGGAAAAGAGAGTGATTTCGAAAGCACGCGTCCCTCAAACGGCTTCGCGGGATTGCCGGGGGTGCGGTGTCAAAGGCTCAAAGGTGGATCGAAAACGCAGCCAATCTCGGTAACGAAATGAAAAAGGCGCTTGCTCGGGCGGAAAGCGAATAAGGTAGCTCAATTCCCGATAATCGCGAGATCAAAGACCCGCCCGGTTGTACCCCCCCCCCCCCCCCCNGTGTATCGCCCGGTGTTGCATTGCAAATGCGAAGTATCTCTCCTGAGGCTCGATTTTCAGCCTGACATTCCGGATTAGACGGTTGTCCGAAGGCTCTGCGAGCGGCGGCGCGATGCGCTCGCCTTCTCATTCCTTTCTTCTGCATTTTTTATTCACGCTCTTCATTCGCGATGTGAAAATATACAAATCGATTCTCAAAGTGTCATTGATTACTGACGTTGTAGGACAAGCTCTGAATATTTATTAGTCGCAGTGTTGTGCAACTTTGCTCGCGGACAACGGAAACGGGGTTAAAAGGGATAATGGAGTGACACGAATTTGAACTTGATTTGATAATGCGGAGTCCATTAAGATCGATTTTTCGACGGGGAATTCGTACTCGTGATGGACAGCGCAACGGGGAGCTTTTGCATCGTCGCCTTGGCCCGACCGGAGGTGCACGTTCCTCCTCCTACCAATTTCCACGGCGGAGTCATCCGAGCAGCAACTCATTGCCGGTTCGGTGCACGACTTCGTTACAACGCCCAGCAATAAACTGCGAACCGCTCGTAACGTCTAAGTGGCGGAAGAGACTATAAACTGAGGAAAATTTCAGGCAATTTGCGTTGCCCCGCGCCTTCCAGGAAATCGCCTTGAAAATATTGTTAACACTCGGGATACTGTACAGTTTCCGGCTACCTATACAGCGCCTTCCTTTTTCTCACGAATTTCTGTGCATTGCGCGCCCGAATGTCGAGTACAATTCGACATTCCAGGTTGGTATTCACGATCAGATCTCATTGGGTTGTTTGATAAGTTCGTCGAGTTTTTTTGCGAAAGCAGTGTGTTTATTATCTAAAATAATCTGGAAAACCTGGAAATTCACAAGAAATTTGTTTATGTCTGGAAAAAATCAGGAAATTTTAAATAGACATTTGTCTGCAAGCCTTATTATTATGTCGTTCATAGACTAGTATTGTGTGGTTGACTGAATTTTATTTAATATTTTCTTTATTAAGAATCATGGAAAAAAGTAATTCAGGATTTTTCAACTTAATTTTTTATTAATTTTGATTTTAATTAGAAATAGCGTTATATAAATCGTGAAATCGTAATAGGTGCGAACTTATTAATATTTTGTGTACATATATACATTTAAAAGATTGTTTTTAAGTTTCAGTTTAATATTTAAATTTTATCAGTTTTTTATGTTTGTAATAGATTCTTCTTTGTTCTATATCCTTAGTCTCTTTCAAAATTATCATTGAAACTCGAATGATTCTTAATTTAATGTTATAATTTACAAACTTTTACGAATGGAAAATATTAAGAACTTGCACAATAAATATATATTTATTTGCAATAAGCATTTAAAAATATTTTTATTTTATCTAAAATATTTAACAAATTGCCTAGAAAATCAAGAAATTCTCGGGGAATTTTTCTCGAGTTCATTCTGAAACGTACTTCAGACGATTTTAAATATAAGATCGGACTATGAATTCCAGCCTAAGAGTGGTTTGCTAATTAATTAAGAGGTTAACTTAAGAGAGAAGATATACTAATTACTTAACATGTTCGCTACCAGCTACATGCAAGACGCAACGAATCTCTCTCACGAGAAACCAGCGTCATACATGTGCGACAACAAAAATGTTTTTTATGTCCACATCTAAATTAAATATGTTTTATCCAATAATGTAAAAAAAAAATGAGGTCTGTGTGGTGAGAGGATGTTTCGGGTAAACCCTGATTGCGAACGTGTTAAATTGAAGCAACCCCTTCATCGGTCGTCACTGATTGGGTTGTTCAGGCGTTACGAATTATTCGAACGCAAACGTCTCGCGAGGATGCGTCGTATCTACCGAGGAGTATCGTTGGAATTTGTTTTTCTAGGAGCGATCGACACACGAACGAAGACCTGAGGAAATGTCGTCCTTGTACACTACGACTGCCAGACCTGTTGAAACCAGCAAACACAGCGTAACTGCCGCGGCTACCGAATTGCTGGCCCGTTCCGGTTTTCAGCCGTACCGGCCCGAACACCATCCGGCCCATCCACCGGCATTCGCCCTGGATCCTACGACCTATAGCGCCTATCACCCTGGTCTCTATCCACCGCCTCATCTGCAACATGCTTATAGGTGAGCAACGATATCGTTAATTTTTGCATAATCAAAGGACGATATTCGAGTTAAAATATTGACGCTACTTTGACGCTCCTAAGGACAGTGTGTATCTACTTACAAGGAGATGACGCGAATCTCGAAGACGATTTCCGAACAGGTTATAGCTCATTCGTTAACTTGTGTATAAGGCGCAAAATTCCTAAAGAAGTTTGAGTGAATGAGCGTCTGTTAACGAGAAATTACAATGCAAAGCTGGACTCATGAGAGCTGTGCCACACATGAGGCGAAACTTAACACTCCTTGTTACTGAAGCGACATAGTTGATGGGACTACAAAGGGTCCCGTTCCATTACTTAAGACACCATCATGACGAAAATAAATTATATCATTAAAATTCAACTTATTTTTTGCAGTTTTCCTGAGATGAAATTTTGATGCTATTTTGACGCTCCGAAGAACAATTTGTACCCAGATTTGTACTCAGATATCTTAGAGACTTATAAAAACCTACTTGGACGATATTACACTTGTTAACTTCTCTCTTGAACCTTTAATTCTATAGACTGTTAATTTCAATGCTGCCTTGAAGCTATAAGTGCTTTCGATGTTTTGATTATTAAGTTCACGCGAGTAATTCAAAACAATCTATTTCGACTGTTTCGCAAAAGAAAAATTTAAGATATCATGGTCAAAGTAGGATTAAATAATATCGTTAGAATTGAACCAATTTGCCGTCTCAACTCATATTATAGAATTAAAGGTTAAACGTAATCCCGAAATTTCGATTCGGGTAGAGATATTAGATGTTCTCCTATTAATTATTCTTCGAAAACTTCTATATATGTTACTTAATGAGAGGTTTCGGCCATGCGACCTTTTCCTCTGCTTCTCGATCACACGACTTTGTACTAATATAATTTCATGTACCGTTCGCAGATTAGAGGAACAGTTGTACTTGGAGCGGTGCGGAATGCTGAGACCGCCATTGTTTCCCGGACTGCCGTCGTATCCTCTGTACGGATTGAGATACAGTCCAGACATGCTTCCTCCGCCGCCCGCCTCTTTAAGCCTCATGTCTCCTGTGATGCACGAACGGTAAGTAACGGAGTATAAAAAAAGTTTCGAGGGGAGAAGAGAGAAGATGGAGAGAAAAAAAAAGAATTCTGTTCTTCTCCCCTCCCTCCCCCCTCCCCCCCTTCTCTCTTTCTCTCTTTCTATTCGAGCGGCTGGAAGGACGCTGAATTTCTCAATTAACGACAGCGATACGGTTTCTCGTTTCAGGCTGAAGTTGGAGGAGGAGCATAGGCTGAGGCAAGCACGGGAGCAGGCTGCATTACGGGAGGAGGAGGAGAGGAGAAGAGCAGCGAGAAGTTCTGCTTCCGCCGCACCGGTACCCGCTCCTGCACCTGCATCTGCCGATACTGCAGGTGAGCGAGTCGCTCCACCCCCCACTGCCTTTCATTAAAAAAGAAAGCGTCGATCGAAGCGCGATTGCGATCTGCCTGATCGCTCTTTAAGGCGCGGCCTCTCTCTCTCTCTCTCTCTCTCTCTCTCTCTCTCTCTCTCTC